ATGCCAGCCAAACAATGGCAAATACGTACTCACCCCTCCCTCACACACACACACACACACACACACACACACACACACACACACGACAGTCAGCCAATCCGTCATACCATGCGCGTGTACTCTGCCACCGAAACTGCGACTGCGCTGCCGTTCCCATCGCTGCTGGAGGCGCTCAAGAGCAGCTGGGCCCACAGCGATCAGCTCACGGCACCGACTCGCCATCATCATGCCATGCCCGCCCAAGAAGCTGATCAAGACGCACATGATAGTGATGACGCCACCGCGACAGCCAGCTCGCCGCCGCCGGACAACACGCTCCTTCTCATGCCGGCATGGGGCTCATCCGGTGGTATCAGTGGCGTCAAGATCGTCACTGTCGTCCCGGGCAACTCAGCCAGGCAGCTGCCGGCGGTCATGGCCTCGTACATTGTCATCGATGGCATGACTGGTGCTCATGTGGCTCTGCTCGACGGTGCCGTGCTGACTGCTCGTCGGACCGCGGCTGTTGGTGCGCTTGGCGCTAGCCTCCTCGCCCGTCCCGACTCGACCAAGCTGCTCATCGTCGGCGCGGGCGCTGTCGCCTCGCAACTGCCGTACGCCTACGCCGCCGCCATGCCCTCCATCAACCATGTCACCGTCTACAACCGCTCGCAAGAGAAGGCTCAGCTCCTAGTCGACCAGCTCATTGCCGACGGCTTTGACGCCGTCGTCGCTACCGAGCTTGAGACCGCCGTCCGGAGCGCCGACATCATCTCGTGCGCCACTCTCGCCCGCGAGCCCATCATCCTCGGCGAGTGGCTCGCCCCGGGCCAGCACCTCGATCTCATCGGCTCGTTTACGCCACACATGCGCGAGGCCGACGACGTTGCTGTCTCCAAAGCAGAGGTATACGTCGACGTCTCCGAGGCACTGGCCGAGTCTGGCGACATTGCTTCGCCCATCACTGCCGGCGTCCTCGCGCCCGACGACGTCCGCGGCACCCTCGCCTCGCTCTGCTCCGCCGACCAGCGCCCGCCGCGCGAGCCCTCGCACATCACCCTCTTCAAGTCGGTCGGCTCCGCTATCTCGGACCTGGCCTGCGCCGGTGTCGCTGTCCCTGCGCCCGAGCCGTAGCACCAAATACACATCATCCTCCCTCTGCCGCATCACCGCCGCCGCGGCGCAGAGTCCCGCCGCGTCCGGTTGTAGTACGGCGTGACAACCTTTGGCCCCGCCATAGACTCGGATGCCGCCAGTGCCAGTGCTGCGGCAGGCCCGCGGGTGTTGGCGTCGTAGATTGAGAGCCGCCGTCTGGTGCCCTGTCGGAGAATCGCTGCCCGTGCGCCTTTGACGCCGGCCAACGTCTCGGACGAGACCGAGGCCGAGTCGATGAACTTGCGCTGCATCAGCTGCTTGACCTTGGCCAGCGCCTCGTCGTCGTCGCTGCTTCCGGACAACGAGCCATCGTCCTCGAGCGCCACAGCCCGGTATATCGCCGTCGGCTCGACGTACACCTCGCCGTCCGAGTCGTCCTCCGACGACGACGGTGTCGACGGCGGCGTGATCATCGCCATCGACGCCTGTGACGCAACTTCGAGCCACGAGAGCTCTGAATCGCCCTCGTTGTCGTCTCGTCCATCACCATTGGTCTCAGCCCTGGCCTTGCCACCGGCCGAATTCTTCTCCATATCGTCGACCTCGGGCTCGACCTCAACGGCTTCGGCTTCAGCCGCCTCACGCTGCAGCGCTCCATTCCGTCGCTCAAACTTGGCCAGCAGCAGCTTGGCCTCGGCCGCCTGCTCGGCCGCCCGCACCGCATGGTCGATGGCCAGTCGCCATTCGGATGCGCCGGTGCGGACGTGGCCCTGGTGGAACTCGCCGAGGAGGTGGCCAGTGAGCGACCAGACTTTGACAGCCCCGTCGAGCGAGGCGGTGCAGAGCGAGGGCGGCGAGGTGGCGCGGACAACCACGATCGAGGTCACCTCCTGCCGGTGCGCCACCCAAGACCGCACCACCTCGGCCTTGCCCGATAGCGAGATGCCGTCGAGCGAGTAGCCAAGCACATCCGACGCATCACGCGCTGGACTCGCCAGCGTCGACGTCCGCACCAGCGCGTCGAGCTTCCACAACTTGACCACGCCCTTGTCGTCGCCGGTCACCGCCACATGCTTGAGCATGTGGTGCTTGCGGACCAGAACGTACTTGGTCACCACCTTGCTCTCGCCGTCCGATTCGTACTCGGACTCGTACTCGACGTCATAGTTCGAATCAGACTCTGAGAAGCCGCCACCAGCGCCGCCGCTGCCGTCAGCGCCGCCACTTCCGTCGCCGCCGGTCCGCCGCTGCTTCACCTCCTCACGCACTCGCTCCGAGTACGCCAGCGTGCCGGCGTAGGTGAGAGTGGTGACAACTGGCGGCTCGATCGAGCCGGCCATCTCATTAGTCCACCGCGCCACGCAACGGAACTTGAATGGTGCCCGCGTGCCCCACAGCGCGAGTGAGCCGAGCGAGTCGGCCGCCATGACAAGCGGGAGCGTGCCGACCCACACTACGCCCGTGATGTGGACCGGCGAGTCACTCGCGCTGGCGCGCTCCTCGGGCGAGCTGCTACGGGCCGAGTTTCCGCTCGGCGACCCGCGGAGGCCAAGCGGTGATGTCGGGCTCGTCGTCAGCCGCGCCGCCACCGCCTCGGCCGGCGTCTGCATCCCGTCCTCAGCCGAGAGGAGGGCAAAGGTGTACAGATCCCACACCCGTAGCGAGCCATCACCACAGCCGGCCACGACATGGCCCCAGCGGCCAAACGCCGATGAGACGTCCATGCAGTGGATGCGGTGCAGGCTCCGCTCGCGGGTACGGGCGGCCAGCGGCAGCGGCGGCGCCGTCATCGACCGTGGGAGCTTGAACCCGCGCTCCTGTGACTCTTCGTTCTGCAGCCAGAGCTGCCCGTCCAGCGCCGCCGTCACCACCTGCCGCTTCGGGCTCATGCTCGCCGCCCCGCCGCACGAGTACTGCAGCGCCGCCACCTCGGCGCCGTGCGCATCGAGGTCCTTCATAAAGTGGCCCGTGGCGTAGGTAAAGACCTTGACGGCGCCCGTGCAGTCACCGAGAATGAGCTTGCGCTGGCGGTCGTCAAGACCGCCGCACGTGATCTCAGCCGGCATCAGCTCCGGGTGCGACCGCTCGAGCCGGCCCGTCACCGCGCTCCACACACGGATGCCGCGCCCGGCCATGGTCACAAACGAGAGGAAGACCTCGTTGAAGAGGACGCCGACAACCGGTCCCGAGTGCGCAAGCTCCGGGTGCGTGCTCCGCTGCGCGTCGAGCGCAAAGACTTTGTCGGCACCGACAAGGATGCGGTCGTACGAGGCGACGGTGGCAAGGGCCGAGATCGGTGCCTGGGTCGCCGTCGCAGCCTCGAGCGACATGGTGTACGACTGAAGTGGGCGGAGGGTGCGGATGTCCCAGATCTTGACCACCCCGGCTTCGTCGGCAGTGACCACCTCGGGAGACGAGCCCATGACCTTGATGCCGACCAGTGGTGCCTTGTGGCCTTTGAGCACGCCGACAAAGCCGCGTTGGACAAACGGGTTCCACACAAAGGCCTCGCGGTCGCATCCAGCCGAGAGCAGGAACGAGTACTCGTCCGAGTAGTCGAGGTCCGTCACTCCCGATGCGTGCTGCGTCGGCTCGAGTTGCCGGTAGTTCATGCCCTCGCGGGTCGAGATGACGCATGCGGGGCTCGCCGTGTGCCCGATGAGGTCCCACGCCAAAATCGAGCCGTCGAGCGCGCCGGCGACCACCACGCCGCGCCGTGGAATGGCCTGCAACGCAAGGACGGCCGCATCGTTGGCGAGCACGTGACCGCGCCCGTAGCCATCGTACGAGAACTTGTGCTGCCCGCTCTCAAAGTCCCACGCATGTACCCGCCCGGTTGAGCCGCCGCTCCATAGCGTCCGCGACTTGCCGATCCACGCCAGCGCGTGCTGCGGGTGCGAGGTGTGAATCCTCCGCTGGAGCTTGTGGTGTGCATCCCAGAAAAGCAGCGCACAGTCAGTGCCCGAGGTGATGAGGTAGCGGTACTCGGGCGCATAGACCGCGTCCAGCGCGCACCCACGGTGCCCGCTGAGGTTGTTCAACAGCTTGAGCGAGTACGCGTCGTGAATGCCCACAAACGAGTGCGCCGAGATGACCACCACCCGGTTCGGAAGTGTGTCGAAGGTCTTGATCCGCGTCACCGCCTTGCTCCGCGCCACTCTATCTATCGCTGTCGCCGACGGCTGGTACGAGTGCGCGCGCTCGCTTCGGTACGCAGAGTCCGAGACAAGCCCGGCGTCGAGGATAAAGCCCACAAACTCGGGCCACGAGAGCTCACCGTCGCCGTTGACGTCGATCTCGCGGAAGAGCTCGGTCATTTGCGAGACGAGCTCCTCATCGGCGCGCTCGTCGCTCTCGGGCACAAATGCAACCATGGCTCGGATAAACTCCTCGAGCTCGAGTCCACCCTTGAACGCCCGCTTGAGCTGGTGGATCTTTTCGCTCGAGTTGATATACGTCATGAGGTCGATGGCATGCATGGCCTCGGCCTCCAGCTGCTCGTGCGACGAGCTCGAGCCTGAGAGCGAGTCCGGGCCAAGGCTATGGCTTGTTGTCCGCCGCCGCCGCCGCTGCCGCCCGTCTGCCGTCATCCGTCGCCGCCGCCTCCGCTTCCGCTCCTGCACGCCCCAGCCCGACTCGACCGCCCGCCCGCTCCGCGCGGACCGGGCCACGTCTGGCCGCGTCTCGCCCGGCAAGAACCGTCCGCGCTTGGATCGCGAGTACCGCGCATGCGCCATCGACGTCCGGAACGTCTCGACCTCGCCCTCGTCCTCCATCTCCAGCAGGCGGCTGACGTCGGTGATGAGCTTTGACGACGACACCGACGGGTGGCCGCTCCCGCTCCCGGCCCGGCCCGCACCGTCGAGTCCAAGAGTGGTGTAGTTGAGCGGGCGGACCCGCGGCCGGTGGCGAGTCCTTGATCGCGGCGCCGACAGGACCTCGGCCTCAATGTCAGCCAGCGTGGTCTTGATTCCATTCTCGGCGAGGACAGCATTGACGTCGCCGAGCTCGTCGGCGAGGACTCTCACTTCGGCCTCGTCCTCTCTCTGCCCGTGCACCTGGCCCTCTTCCCCGGTTGTGCTCCCTTGGACGCCCTCTGCATCCGACGCCGGGCCCGGAGCCTGTCGGTCGGCCGCCCACGGCGTGCATCGGCCATCGCGCCTCCGCCGCGGTCGAGGCCGAAAGGGAGCTTGAGACGCGCGCGACCAGAGCCAGCTCCACCGGCGACCAGCTTGCTCGTCAGCGGCGTCCCACCGCTGCGCAAGCGGTGGGAACCCGGTCCCACAATAGGATGGATGCGACGGCGCGGCGAGGGAGCCTCCTGACGAGCGACGACCAAGTCGAGCGGAGGATGAATGCGAAGTGCATGCCAATCGCCGTGGACACCGGCAATGAAGCCATCACCATCATCATCGTCATCATCATCATCGCTCGCATCACTCGCCATCTCCGACACCACCACCGTCGTCTTGCCCTTCCGCCAACTCGCCACCACGCCACCGGAGCCATTCCCCGCACCGGCTGTCGAGCTCCTTGCACTCGCCAGCAGATCGTCGAGCAGACTCACCCCAGCAGTAGCAGCAACAGCACTATCGCCATCGCCATCACCATGATCATGATCATTGCCATGATCATGGTCATTGCCATGGTCATGGTCATGGTCATGGTCATGGTCATGGTCATGGTCATGGTCATGGTCATGGTCATGGTCATGGTCATCGGCCATCAGCTCGGCATGCCGCCGTCTCCGCTCGGCTATCTGGTCCCTCAAACGGGTATGGTCCATAGGTCGAAAGTCGGGTGGAGGGATGGGCAGGCGAGAGGCTGACCGAAGGCCATGCGGTGTCGGTGTCTTGCCTTGTCGTCGAAGGAGCTCACGTCGTAATGCTGCGTATGCTGGTGTCGCTTTGGTGCTCTGCATCCCTCACTCGGCAAAGACCGTGAGGTGTCGCCGTCGCCGTCGCGGTCCTGTCGCTGACTCAGGAGGACTGACCGGGTCTG